AAGCATATCTATAGAAAAAACCTGCCCCTTACAGCTTCAATGCAAGAACTTGCTGTATCCTCCATTCCTCCGTCCCCAATACAACAAACCCTCAAAGATTACATATTCTATTGAGATTTGAGTGCAAGAACAGTACACAGCTCTGTATCAAGAACACCCATTCAAATTGATAATTTTATAATGTAATGGAGATCTGATACAAGATTGATTTCATACCTTTTATATCAAGCATTTGTGAAAAGGGCACACTTGGAAGACTAAAACATTTTGCACTTTTATCGTTGGACTCCGTCTAGTGTGTCATGGGAGTGGGGGCCTCCGTGAATAAATATCGAAGCAAAGGAGCAACGACGCCCACGCTTAAGCTATTACCAAACAAGGCATACCTGGACACATACAAAAGATCATATCTCAGACCACAGGTGTGAGGACTAAAATACATTAACACCAAAGTCTCATGCACTTATCTGCCTTTGTTATGACAACTGAACAAAGTTAGAGTGAAAAACAAGAATACCGCTGTCTGAGGCTCACGTGTTGGGGAAACTTGAAATCTGCTGGAAAGGAATGCAAGTTTGCAACCTTCACAGTAACAAAAGAACTAAGACACATGTATTCAATTTGTCATCGTGGTAGTTGGAAACAAATCGTGGTTTCAAGAGCACATACCTCCCTCGGGGTGAAGTATCTAAGGCAGAGATCCTTCAATGATGCCTTGTTTTTTATATTTCCCTGTATTCGACAAAGAAATACGTAGTAAATAATTGCCTCATATAGAAGTAAAATATACACTTTAGTCCTCTCATATAATTGTAAACATTTTGATCTGAACCTGGAAAATTTAATACGTAGTTTTTGAGGGACAAAAATAGAGCCCTCTCCAATGAGCCAGATTAGTGATCAGTGTTAGAGTGCATCCCACATCGGAAGTCCAAGAGTAAAATAATCCGGTATATAAGCTCTTGAGTTAAACTAACTAATCGATTGGATTCAATCTTTTAATGTGGTTCAACCCAAGTGTCTTATTACCCAATCGAGTTGTCCATACCCATCCCAAATTCTATCATGGTAGAGCAGGTTTTGGCCCACCTCGTTTGTCAAGGTGTCCGTTTAGACGTTCATTCCTAGCGGCCCGTTTGTCTTTAGCCCAGTTGTCCGTATGGAGTATGTATCCAACAGCCTGTGGCCCGTTTAACACGATTGCTCGTCTGGAAGTCCATGCCCAGCGGCTCGTGGTCCTTTAGGTGTTGGCGCTCAAAAAAAAATCAAGGGAATGGGAGTTCATTTGCAAGTGGTCAACCGGTTAGATTCAAAATGGCCCGGTTGTCCACTTGAGGGGGAGTGTTAGAGTGCATCCCACATCGGAAGTCCAAGAGTAAAATAATCCGGTATATAAGCTCTTGAGTTAAACTAACTAATCGATTGGATTCAATCTTTTAATGTGGTTCAACCCAAGTGTCTTATTACCCAATCGAGTTGTCCATACCCATCCCAAATTCTATCAGGAAAAAAAATCAGAAAATATCAGAAACATTCAGGTTCAAATCAAACCGGTTACAAATCAGACAATAAAGAGTCAGTCATGATACATCTATTTGGTGAAGAGAGCATGTCCTTGGTAGGATTTGTATGTGGTATTTGGTGAAGACATCAACAAGTTTGTCACTGGAATGATAAATGATGTGATGATTTCTCTAAGACAAACTTTATCCCAAACCGTATAAAACGAGAGTCAACTTCAATATGTGTAGTTCTTTCATGAAAAAAAAAGGGATTGAAGGCAACAAAGACCATGTTGATTTCCTTGAATAGAACTTTATCCAGTATAATATGACAACAAAGATTGAAGGGAACATGGAGAAGTGCTTGATTGTCACATTAACCCTCCGTTTCTAAACGAAGCCACATGTACATTTTGCACGGAGTTTAAAAAATTATAGTTGTGTGCTTGAGCCATTGAGATTTATTTACAAACTTAAGAAAAGTATGGATTGGCCATGTATTCATTTCCAGAAAAGGAAAGGTGAAGTTTATTGTGGGTACGCCTAAAAAGGAAAGAATATAATTCTTTTAAACCGATGGAGCCAAATATTCACTATTTTTTTTTTGCTTTGGGGTATGATTCAACAACAACCCAGTTGAATCTCACGAGCGTAGGGTCTAGGAGGGTGTGTGGCATAAAGGGAAGAATGGAGGGAGTAGATCAAAATCCTTTCTAGGGTATTCCGAAGGTGTAAACATAGGCAACGAAAAAGGGGCCCAATACATCAATTAGAGGAGCAACTCGTTGGTTCACCAAACCCCGATCTAGCGTCACATGTTCTCATGGTCTGAAGGGATCCAGTGCCCAACTACCGACTCCTCCAGGAATTGCATTATCGAAGCAGAGCCAGGAATATAGTTGTCACGGCGTCGCCTAGGGATCCTGGCGCCCTTCTACTCTCGCCATGAGAGCTCGCCTTGCCTTGTTATGCATACTTCGCCTAGTCTAGTGCTTTATTTTTTTATTCTGTTTAGTCCGGTGCTTTATTTTTTTAAGTAATTTATACCCCGACTCTAGTACTTTACAGATTAGTTTATGTTCAATCTAATGTTTTTTTTCTACGTTATCTTCCTAATTAATACTCAGTGATTAATTTTTTTAAATGTTAAATGATTAATTTATTTTCAATTTAAGTCGGTAATGCTTCTTTTTCAACTTTGGTTTTTTTTAGGAAAGTACCTAAAAGCAACTTTGGTTGTTAAACTTTGTTGCATTAGAAAATTTTAAACTTTATCAACTACAATATATAATGTGATATATTTATATTAGTCTTTTTAATGTATAGCAATTCTCCTATATTATGTGTCGCCTAATTGTAGCCAAGGCGGTTGCCTAGTCGACTAGGTGTCCTGGAGATACCCTAGCACCACGCCTCGACTTGGCGCCGTGGCAACTATGGCCAGAATGACCGATAGTGGCTAACAAAGCAAAATGAATATTTAAACTATCTACACTTCTTTAATAGTGAAGTAGCTATTGATCGATGCAACTTTCAACACTTATCGTGGGTCATTTGGAAATAGGCGCTTTTAGTTTTAAACATAGGGGTCAGGTTGCGTAGCATACATCTGATCCCCACTTACCCCGTGTTATTAGTAATAATATTAGTATTTTAGTTAAGTCCTGAGAATATGGCAGGATCTGATTTGGCCATTAATATGGGTGATTTAGGCATTAATATGGGAGATTTAGTTTCCTTATATTAGCACCCTTCTTATGTATATATAGTCATGTTGTATTATGTAATAATGTATAATGAGGAACACCTCTGATTATCAATCACATGGTATCAAAGCCAGTGTGCTCTAGGGTTAGGATTCATTATTTGTAAAAAAAAGGGCTTCTGCCATTTTGACGCTGTCTCTAAGGGTGCTCGCCTGACATCACCGCCACCGTGGGTGGAGTCGCACGTTGCAGGAGAACAATTCTGAAGAATCTCTCCTTCGTTGGAGACCTCACGCCCCGCCAGTGCTGGTCAGATCCACTGTCAAAAATCATCTAAGCAGTTGTGCAGACTCAGTTTGGACATTCAGTGGGTGATTTTTGCTCTGTCTTCCTCTGCCAATCAGGTTTTGTTCAAATTTTAGTCCATTGAAATGGGTGATAAGTCTAGTGTCATGTCTGAAGTTTTTCCAGTCATGTCAAAAATCACAGAGGAAACTTAATTCCTCTAATTATCTTGAATGGGTCACGACTATTAAATTATATCTCCGAAGTACTGACAAGGACGATCATATGAGTGATGATCCTCCTAAGGATGCAACTACTAAGAAAGTGTGGTTGAGGGATGATGCTCGACTATTCCTCCAAATCCGGAACTCAATTGATGGGGATGTGCTTGGGTTAGTTGGCCATTGTGAAACAGTTAAAGACTTGATGGACTATTTGGAATTTCTATATTCAGGTAAGGGAAATCTTACTCGTATCTATGACGTATGTAAGGCTTTCTATCGGGGAGACCAGCAGGATCAATCTCTTCAAGCATACTTCATGGACTTCAAGAAGACATATGAGGCCTTAAATTCATTGATGCCCTTCACTCCAGATGTCAAAACTCAGCAACAACAGCGAGAGCAGATGGCAACAATGAGTTTCTTGGCAGGCTTGGCCCCGAGATTTGAGGCTGCCAGAGAAAGGGTCCTTGCAGACTCTGAGGTTCCCACTTTACAGGATGGGTACTCACGGATTCAACGTAGTGAAAGTGTAAAACCCATAGAGCCTACAGATGGTGCACCTCAGAATGCTCTTATACTGAGTCACCAAAGCAACCATATAAGTCATTCGTTCGTAGTGGCACCCCACAGAATCAAGAGCCCATAATTTGTCATTATTGTCACAAAGAGGGACATTATAAGCGTGATTGTAGGAAACTTCAACATGTGAATCAAAGGGGACGAGCTGCACACTTTGCCTCGGGTGAAAACTCTAACCCCCCTACTTCAACAGATGAGTATGCCCAATTCCTCCAGTTCAAGGAACTTCTGCAGCGATCATCAAAGGGGATGAGCTGCACACTTTGCCTCGGGTGAAAACTCTCACCATCGTGTTAGTTTGAGTCCTAGAATAAATCTACGGGTAAGTGCTCCTTTTGAGTTGGTTCATTCTGACGTTTGGGGTCCTTGCTCGGTTGTGTCAAAACCCGGATTCCGGTACTTTGTTACTTTTGTTGATGACTATTCACGTATGACTTGGCTCTATTTAATGAAATCTCGCTCTGAGTTATTTTCTCACTTTCGTTCATTTTGTGCTGAAATCCAAACCCAATTTAATATGCCTCTTAAAATTATGCGTGGTGATAATGCTAAAGAATATCTTTCCAACCCCTTCCAAGCCTACATGCGTGACCGTGGCATTCTCCACCAAACTTCATGTGTGGATACTCCAGCCCAAAATGGGGTAGCTGAACGCAAAAATCGACATCTGCTTGAAACTGCACGGGCACTCTTGTTTCAATCAAAAGTGTTCAAGATGTTTTGGGCTGATGCCGTTGCCACGGCATGTTTCTTGATTAATCGCCTTCCATCGAGTGTCCTTGGTGGCCAGCCACCATTTCATATTCTCTTCCCTGATAAACCTATTTTTCCAGTCCCACCAAAGATCTTTGGGTGTACATGTTTTGTAAGGGATGTTCGTCCATCTGTCACTAAGCTAGATCCAAAATCCTTGAAGTGCATCTTTTTGGGGTACTCCCGGGTTCAAAAGGGATATCGTTGTTATTGTCCTAGTCTTGGTCGATATCTTGTCTCCATCAATGTGAGTTTCCATGCGCATGTTCCTTTTTCTTCACCTACAGATTCTGTAAATGAGGGGGAGGGTTCTGGTGACATTTTATTTTACACTACCTCTAGTGCTACAACGCCCTCTACTGGTGTGCCTCCCATCATTCAGGTTTACTC